CAAGTTGTGTTGGAGTCATAGCCATATTGGATTTATGCATATGTGTGGATTGATGTATATTCATGTTGGAGAATGTGTCTTTATGCTTTGGTATAATACCAAAAGTAAAGATCAGGAATTATGTTCAAGAGACATGGAACTATATTCTTTTGATTTTTAAAATTTGATCTGCTTTCTTTTTCACACACAGGGCCAGCCCTAACATTTGTGGAGCTGGGGCAGTAGTATACACAGAGGCCCACATACCACACACCTAGGTATTGGAAACTCACTAAACAATGCAGCAGCCTGACTTACATGTGTTTTTCTAATGATGGGGAGCACCAGCTTAGCATTTAGAATGCTCAGAGGACTTGGGTGTGCTGACTCTGATGCAGGTGTGCTGCTGATGAAAACCCACCTTTGGTTTGTCTGACACTTCAGGGGCCTCTCTGCTCACATGTGGACATGCCAGCCCTCGCCATGTTCTGCCCACACCCCTTTGCACAGCTGTCCCTTGTCCATTTCTCACCGTTCTCTGAGGCTTCAGGGTGCACACACACCAACTCCTTGTCTGTTGTTAAGAAGATGGGTGGGAATGAGGGCCTACACCTCCTGGACCCAGGCTTTATAGGCGAGCAGTGTCAGACTTCTACTGGGGCCAGTGGTTTAACTGGAGTTGGGGTTGGACGGGCTCTGAATGGACTCATCCCCTGGGTTCTGCAGGCTCCTTGCAGTAGAATGGGGCATGGTTTGAGGGAGCCAGAGCAGGCTAAAGCTCGAAGACTCATTTCCCTGGTTTTTGGAGATCAATGGAGATCATCGTCTTTATAGTCATATCTACTGACATGAATAGAGCGCTTACTTACTAGGGCTCCTTTCTTAGTATCTTGCATGCGCTAACTCATTTAATACTCTAGCAACTCTGTAAGGAAGGCGCTATCATTGTCCCCGTTTTAGAAATGTCAAAGCTGAGGAACAGTGGGATTAGGGTCTGTGGTGGCACAGGGATTAGGGTTATGTTGCATGGCTAAAAGAGGCGGTGGGGATGGGGCTGGCCAGTGACTTCATAGACCTCTGAATGACATTCTCAACACAAATGCTGTACTAGCTTAGTCAGAACACTTAAGTGAATGGTGGTTGGCCTTTTCACAGGGTAATCAAAGCCTTCTGCTTATATTTGCCCTGCACGTTTAGGATTTTCTCAGGCGTGCATTCGTTTCTGTCCTTAGGCCGTGGCGCTCTACCGAAGGTTGGTTGCTCCCTCTCTCTCTCTCTCCCCTTCCTTCCAGCTGTTTAACAACACTAAGTCCCAGCGGTTTGTGAGGCCAGTGGTTCTCAGACTTCAGCTGCTTCAGAACCATCTGGAGGGTTTGGTCAGCCACAGATAGCCGGACCCCACTCTGAGTTTCTGACGCAGTAGAGCTGGTTGAGCCTCAATAATCTGCATTTCTGAGGAGTTCCCCAGTGATGCCGGTGCTGCTGTCTGAGACTGTGTCTTGGGAGCCCTGCATTAGGCAGTACCAAAAGGTCCTGTGAACGTAAAGCAGAGAATATGTTGCATTAAAGACTCAAGGGCTGATAAGTCGAGCTCCTCATTTTTTGTTTGTTTGATCTTGTTCCTA